TCCAGGCAGCCCCGCCCACCTGGCAGCCCTGGGGAGTTAACTCCCTCGTTAAACGGGTTAGAAAAAAAAGAAAAGAAAGAAAAACTTTATTAGCCTGCACCAGAAGCAACAAAAGACCCAGAATTTGCACAGTCCAAGACCGATTGCCTGAGACAATAGGGAAAGCAACGACCCGGATACAGCTCGGAAGACAAGGAAGTAGAAACACACGGCAGAGCAAGCCCTTAATGCAGCAGAAGCCCAGGGCGCCTGCGCCAAACTCGTCCCCGCTCTTCCTCCCCGAGCGGAGCCGAATGGAGCCGAACGGAGCCGAACAGAGCCCGGAGCGGCCGAGCGCAGGGCGGTAGTGTCGGCGAGAACTTAGAACCCGCCCAGATCCTGAGTGGCCCCGCCCACAAACCCCCGAGGCTCCACCTACAGTCCAAATCTGTAGGGGCCCATTTTTGTTTCTGGTTTTTCTTTTTTAAGGATTTACTCAGAATACGATTTCCACAAAGGGACGTTTGCTAACAAGTTACTGTCAAAAAACAATACCATCTCTTCCACTTCTTCTTCCATAAATTGCATCCCTTAAAATATCTTGGAATACTGGGAAATTTTATTTCCTGGAAGCGGGTGATGTGAGAATAGCATTAGACCTTGTTTGCTGCTTTGATCATGACACCTCTAACAGAGGGAAAAGCATTCATTTAATTATATTGACTATTGTTAGAACGATTGTACTTCGGACAGACATCTCCGCATAAATAAAATATACACAGTATTTAATTCTGCTGAGAAAAAGAGATAATAAACCTAGGGGAAATATTTCCTCTCACAAGTATATTATGCATTAACTTATGATGTATGTCCAATGAATGTAAAATAGTGCCTTGCATCCAGTTAGAGAATGTATTTATTAAAGTGAAATTTTAATACTAGTAAATTCACCACTAGTATAAAAACATGAGGACAGTATGTACAACCAGACAAGGCAGTCAGTCTTCTGTCAATGGATGGTCATTGGTGCCAATTCAATCCCAACAGGAATCCCCAGTTTGGGGTGCAGTGAAGAAAGACATTTTATTCAGTGCAAACAGCTCAATGGTGATACAGCACAGCTGTGAAACAGCCTGATAGTGTACAGCTCAATTACAAAGCAGCATAGCACAGCACAGCCGGGAGGCAGCCCCTGGGGCCAGGCCCATCTCTGGCTAGACAGCTCTGCTCCTGGTTTGCTCCTCTCTGCTCCAGTGAGACATCTTCGTGACATCTTTGGTGTTTGAGCTCAGCCAGGGAAACACTGTCTACAGTCTCCGGTGGAAAGGGAAAGTGCACTTGCTCAGTGAGAGGAGAGCTGCTGACATATAGACAGAAGTCCCCACCCGTGGGACTTTTGCAAATGAGGGCTCCAAATCTTCACAGTTTGATTGGCCCAAAAAAAGCATTGTCCTGATTGGTCAAAATGAAGCTTCTCTGATTGGTCAGTGAAGAATCTGATGGGGGATATAGATGTACAGTGGATTGGATGTGGAAAGCCTCAGTCCTATTGATTGAAATACTATTTCAGGAACTCCTTTATAAGGGCTGACTCATATGGCAGGAACACGAAGCAGGCAGGCAGTTCAGTGCAGGCTTCTCCCTGAAGTGTGGTTTGCACAGAGGCCCCTATTTAGAAGTGGGCTGCTTGGCTCTGCTTTTAAATTTGAGCCCAGTTCGCTACTGGAACCCTTTACTATGGGTATCTTCTTAGGTGTCTACACCTTCAACAGTTACAAATGCCACGCTTATTTACATACAGGTTAGCTACTTTTAAAAACAATATTAAAATGTTAGAATCTGAGCAGTATTCATACTTTTAAAAATGTTTATATGTCAAGGCTAGAAAAATACTTGCATGAAACTGGTACAGTTCATTGGTTTATTCTACAAGTATACATTAATAATGTGGCAATGTTTGTAACATGGGAAAATACAGTGTTATGAAAGACCATAAATTAAATATGTAGGAATCTATATATATAAAAGCCTAAGCAACCATTCGACCATTCAGCTGTTCAACCAGTAGCTATTTGTGCACCGGTGTGGTCCCTTGGCCTGGCCAGCGGGTATCGGGCCAAAACCAGCAGTCCAACATCCTGAGGGGTCCTGGATTGCGAGAGGGCGCAGGCCAGGCCAAGGGACCCCACCAGTGCATGAATCCGTGCACCAGGCCTCTAGTCAAATAATATAATGCAACAGTGGAGCTTACTTTTAAAGAAATGTGTTTAATGCTTTTTATAAACTGGAATTAAATTATATAACATTAAATTTGAAAAGTAGTCCATATTTATGTGGTACAATGTATGGGAGGATTACAGAGAGGTTAGGCTTTCTGTGAGACAGTTGTCTTTTCTTTTTCCAGAGCTTAGGATAGAGCTGAGGATATAAACCAGTCAATAAACAGTTGCTGTATATTGTGAAAAGGGCTGCCAGAGAGAAAGTACACATGCATACAGGAGAGAAGGCACTCAGGGAAGGCTTCCTGGAGAAAGTTCTATTTAGATCCAGACATAAAGTGTCTGAACTTGCCTGGAAAAGAGAAGAAAGGAGACAAAGGTGTTTCAGACCATGGACAGGACATGAGCAAATGCCCAGGTCTAAGACAGCATGACTAGTCAGATTCCTCAAAAGTTGGACTTCCTCTAATGCCCTCAGGACATTGCTCCACAACAGTACTTGTAACAATTATTATTATTTTATCCTTACCCAAGGATATCTGATTGATTTTAGAGAGAGAGGAATGGAGAGGGAAAGGGAGAGAGAGAGAGAGAGAAACATCCATGTAAGAGAAAAACATTGATTGGTTGCTTCCTGAACCCACCCTGACTGGGGATCATGCCCTGACTGGGAATTGAAACTGTGACCTTCCGGAGCACTGAAGGATGCTCCAACCAACTTAGCCACACCAGCCAGGGCTCTTAGGAGGTAAAGAGATAGGGTGCTTGGGGGAAGTCAAATAAAAGAAATGAAAACAAAAATTGAATTGTCTTACCTGGTTTGAGGGAGAAGATGGAGATCCTGATTAATTTTTTTAAGCATCCAGGAAAGTGCAAATCAGTTTATTGTAAGTGTAAGGATAAAGAGATCCAAAGACATTGAAGCATGCAACAGAGTGCGCAGGCCAGGCTGAGGAACCCCTCTATCCCACCCCCACCCCCCGCACGAATTTTGTGCACTGGGCCTCTAGTAAACCATAAAGGAGAGACTTCTCATGTGCATTCTCCCTATACCACCAACCTTCTTTTCCCACCCACCACAACCATCAGAGCAAGGATATCTATAAACAGAACTTGCATTCATGTCTACCAGGTGAACAGGGCTTCTTATTTAGGCAAGGTATATAAATTCTGGCTACCAATACCACACAATCTATGTATACAGACATATAGGCAACTGAGAATCATTAAATATTTGAGAAAAACTAACAACATGAGAAGAACTAAATTTTTAAAGACCTTTAAAACAATTATATGATTCAGATATATCAGTTCTCCTATGTACATCATGAGATTTAGAAGGTGAAAGGGAGAGAGAGACCTTCTCTGAGCTGTAGGAGCAGCAAAGAAAGCTGCATTATCTATGAGAATAGAATCTACCTTCTAGCTTCTACCTTAAAAGGTATAAGGTCATGGTGGATGGTGGAGGAGCAGTTCTGGAAAAGGTCAGCAGCAATAGCTGCACTCGATTTCTGACTTCTAGATCACAGCTACATTGTATGATCTTGAAACTAAAAGTCTCATTATAGTCCTGACTTTTACTCCTCCAGCCTTTCAAACGCTCTTGTATACACCAAAATTTCTTTTCAATATAAACTACCCAGAGGAATTTCTATTTCCTCTATTAAACTATTTTCTGATACAGTATTTGGTACAGAAAGGTGTTCATAAAATAAAACCTCAACGGTAGAAATTTAAGATTTATTGTTTGACTCGGTGTTGGTCAAAAGAGTGATAACTTCATTACCAATGGAAAATAAAATATTGGTAGTTGAAGGCATACGATGGTAAAACATTTATTTATATAGTCACATGTAATCACCTGGAATGAGGTGCCTGTTGAAGGCAAGCCTTTGGTAACAAGTGTTTGATAGAATATTAAACTGGAAATAAGAAATACTGAGCAAAGCTAGAGCCAGTAGCTAGCCAAACAGCTGTCATTTATGATCCCTAAAGGATATCTTTTGCAGAAAGTTCATGGCTCATTTGATCTCTCACTGTAATTAATATTTTCAGAGATTTTCAAGAGGAAACAATATTTATGAAGTAAGAAAAGGTTGTGCTGAAATTTATGAACTTCATGAGAATCTCAAATGCTCCGGTGGGGGAAAAAAAAAGACAGGTTATCTACAAAGGAAGAGGAATCAGGTTCAAATTAGAATTCCTATCTGAAACTTTGGATGGCTGGGAACTTCAGGCATCTAAACATTATTAAACTAGAGGCCCGGTGCACGAAATTCATGCCATTGACTGGTTTATAGGACCACTGGCTCCTAACTGCTCGCCTGCCTGCCTCATTGCCCCTAACCACTCTGCCTGCCTGCATGATCACCCCTAACTGCTTGAGTGCCTACCTGATCACCCCTAACTGCTCGCCTGCCTGTCTCATCACCCCTAACCACCTCTGCTTGCCTGCCTCATTGCCCATAACCACCTTTGCCTGCCTGCCTCATCACCCCTAACTGCCTCTGCCTCAGCCCCCGCTGCCAGGGCTTCGTCCGGAAGGATGTCCAGAATGACGTTTGGAAGGTTGTTCAGCTGTCCCGTCTAATTAGC